AATACGATCTGGGTATGTCGGTAAAATTAAGTAGTAAGTGGCAGTTTTCACGCAGGCTTGTCAAAGGACGTGTGTTTCGCTGTTATTCGTATATATGTATGTATATATAGGTTATGTTGTGCCTTTTGTCCGTTACAAGAACGAAATGACTGACATAAGTGGCTCCCGATACTCCAATAATTTTCTTCCACCTTCCACGCAGAAATTACGTACGATTGCGGTTACGATTTTCTCTTCCATCGGAGTTCCCTCTTCCCGTATCCTTTGCTCGCAACTTTGTTCGCTTGTTTTCTTTTTTGTTTTCGATCGAAGGGATCCAAACAGATGCTTCTACCCGCGACTTACACGTATCAGCAAGGGAAAAGATACATGTAATAATCGCAAATACACCGATCTTGATCAATGCTCCTCGACTCGCTCGAGTCTGTTTTTTTTATTTTTTTTTTTTTTTTTTTTTTTTGCATCGTGCGCGGTTATCGATTCCACGTAAGTGGCCACGTATCGCGTGTAGATCAAAAACGTTCGATACCCTCGCACACTGTAAATTACGTTTGCCAATTTCGTTGTCAATTTATGCTCCGAGCCAGTAGTTGGCACTGATTGGCTGCGTATACAGCCACACAGAGCTGCCGCGCGGAGATGAATGGGAGTTTCCAATAAAATCGAAGAAATACGATTGTCATTCCAGCTACCGAGGAGACGGTCACCCGGGGGGAATCGATTCCACGGACTTTCTCGGTTGTCTGTACCAAAGAAAAGTGGATCGCGCGTAGTTTAGAAGCCATCACGCACGGTCATCTTCGCACGCACACCCGCGCGAGCGCGCGGGACTCGGAACCCGCCCGACTAAAAATACGATCCTGTACTCGGAAGACGGTTATCTATCGTCAGCATTGTTCAGGCGGTAATGATCTGTCTCGAGCACCGACCTATGGAACATTAAGCCGGTGAAATTTATTCGAGCGAACAGAATATTTCTTCTTAGATTTATTCCAATTCGTAGATAAAATCACAGCAGAATTTAAAGTGAAATGCAATAAAATTTGAAACCTTGATAAACGTTCAATACAATTTTTGTTTTAATACAAACGTATCGACACGTGTAAAGAGACCGCCATTTTCGGTAGAAACAACTATCATTGGCTTCGGAATTCCAAGCTCTATCATTGTGCTGAACCTCGTTAAAAAGTCAGCGTTACACCTGAAGACCTCTCTTTGTCGAGCCTTCGTACACTCATCGAGGATTTATTGTATGGCGGACCAAATGTTAAGGGAAAAAACTGACCACGAGCAACGGGTAAAAATACTGACGCGGAGCAGGTGAACGAACCAGTTGCTTACAAAAATAATTGACATGTCCTCTTATAAATTAGTCATGAACAAATCGCGTCCGTTGAATTCGGATGCAAATGCATCTATTCCTGGTCGGTTTTTGCCGGTTGTTGCGTATCGTTTCGGACAAACTGCACCATGCGAGCGTGACGCAGCGGGGTCAACACTCAATCGGTACAACGGGAGCTGAACGTGCAGCAAGGAACACGAAAGAGAGACAGGAGAGGAAGAGTATACGTGTGTGTGTGTGTGTGTGTGCGAAACAGAGAAAGAGCGAGAGGGGCGGGAGAAAAGAGGCGATACATGAGTGCTACTGGTACTCCGGTGGAGCAAGAAAAAGAGGGGGAAAAGAAGATGGAGAAGGACGAAGGCAAAGTGGGCTGGAATATTTCTACGGGCGCAAGGGGAAAATTGATGGTACGGTCGCGGGGACGGTTCTGTTGCTTTTATGAGGCAAAAGCTACCCCGACGGGGCCCCCGAATCGCATTGTTCTTTTTCCTTTTACACCGGGCGATGAAAGTTACGATCGCAATTTTTGAAGAAAGCCGTTCCTTCTCGTATCTCCGGAAAGCCAGATCTGTATACATATATGTATATGTACGGGTCCCTATTCGCGTGAACAACGATGGAATTACGATCGCTGCTTCCAAACTGAGGTTGTTACAATACGACACGCAATTTGTATCAGGATTTGGAAGAGCACTGCCGAAAGATTTGTCGCCACGATAGGCGGAGGCGTTGCATTCTTCGCGTCACGATTCACGGATCGGTGTTCTGGACGGACGTGATCACAATGACTCTCAACGAACGGCTGGATAGTGTACACACAAGTGGATCTATGATCCTCTATGTCTCTCAATGGGCTGATTCGCTAATAGGCGCGATGAAGTCGTGACCGATGTAACGGGCACGGGTCTTAATGTCGCCCAACGATGATGATTCTCTGGAGAAATTTCTGACCTTTCCGGCAATTTATAGACGAATTCACGCGACATTTTCTGAACTCGTAAGAGATAGAAATTTCGAAACGTGTTTGGACCTGGTTTTACAGCTCGAGAAATAAGCTCGAGCACCTCAATGGGTTTCGGGCATTGGTCATTTCGTCTCTTCCGTAGGTATCTCTCTTTCTCTCTCTCTCTCTCTGCCGAGCTTCGGCGATGTCTTATCAGGTCGTATCTTGTATAAACACGTTCCACCTGGTCTCAGACCGTCATGGCCCACGCCATTTTCTACTGTCGCTGCCCACGTTGTTTCGTAACTTTCCACCAGACCACTTTATCATTTACTCTTCGTCCCTCTTATTGTTCCCAGCTATCGATAGCCGTGGTATCGCGTGATTGATCGGCTCGTACATTCCCACGAACAAAATATATCAGTCTAATGTCGTTAATGATTCACTGAATCGGATGAAACTCGTCGCGAGTGCGTTCAGAGTGTAACATCAAAATTCAGTATAACACGATTAACCGACCGTACAGATTCCATGCATCTGCGCGGACCATTGTCTAGAACAATTTTTGTTACCAACTGTACATAATCCGGATAGAAAAATCTGGCGAATTTTTCGTTTTTTTTTTTTGCAAAAAAATAATCATAATCGGTGACCAAAGCCGAGGAAGAGGTCTACCCGGTGATTAGCCAAGACCTTTAAAGACGATCGAATTACTTACTGCGCACGGAATTCCCCGTACGGGACGATTTGTAGCAGTAATCCAGGCTTACGGTTCCCCCGTTGCCTGGATGCGCTTTAATATGATTTAAACCTACCACCGTGTTGGCTACCGTGTTACGATCCTCCGCCGCGGAGGCCTCTTACCGGGGCTACACACACGGACCTTCCAAGAGAGGCAGAGTCCTTGACGAGGAGAGGCCGAGAGACGAAGATCCCCCAATGAAGCGAGACAGTAATACACGCGTGCGTACACGCAAGAAAGTGGCGTAAAATACGTAGGCGAGGTACCGGTTTTTTTCCGGGGGACCCCGCAACTGTTCCTCCTCTCTTTGAATTTTAAATCTGCTCTTGCTACCGAACGCAATTAAGCCGCATTCACCCGGGAACAGAGAAAAAATAAAAAAAAAATTTCAGTTCATCCGATGCGTAGCCGCGATTTACATTACACCGACCCGCGCGCCAGTGTTGTGCCTTCAACACCTAGCCGTATAATTATCCGTCGATAGCCAGACGTCGTATGACGTTTCGCGTCAACATTCTATCTTATTTTGGATCCCCTTCGATTATTCGGTACTGCAGCTACTCCTCAATCTTTTTACCAAATTACCTACAATTGTTTCGTCGTTAAGCTTCATACGCTGCCTCAGCCCTTGATCCATTTCGTCGAGTCGAGAGAGTGTAACGGAAAACGCGTTTATCTCCGCACGTGTTTGCGCTTTGCAAATTCAGCCGCGCTCGCGTGCTACGGCCGACAATTCCCGGTGACGCGGGATTACTACCTCGAACCGCGGGCTCGGAAGTTCGCTGTTGTCTTTGTCTTCTTCTCTGGGCCCCTACGCCCCCCCCCTCCCTCCTGCGCGGCCTTACGTCCTCCTTGGGGACTCACTTCCCCGAGCGTCTTCGGTCGAGCAAGGCGACACGTTCGCTTTGAGGTAGCCGCCGCTGTATACGCGAAAAACCAGAATAGTCACGGGGCGACGCGCCAACGAGATACTTCACTGCGGCAAAAGTGACAAGGCCCCGGCAATTATAACGGGTGGCAGAAAAAAAACAGCGCCCCACCGTCCATTCCTTCGGTGGCTTCTTTCTCCTCCTCCTCGCCCAATACGAGGCCCTGGACGAACACGCAACATTAGTCCCGGGACCCTTTCTCCACGGCGATCCCCCGTCAACCTCTTCACGCGATCTCGATCATCTTGATAAAGTACAAACCAGGATAATTCTCGCCGATTGAATATGCTGATCCAGTGATTAAAGTCTCGCAGCAAATGACCCGTTTATTCGAATGTTTCAGCCGCGAGATCGTCGAACGCGAACAGCTAAATGGAAGATATTGGAATCCGTTGTACATTTGAGTTGCGAACCGCGTATCAATTGCAAGGCGGTAAAAATAGACGAAAATCGAGCCTGCAATTTCTACACGCAGTGCACGATTGTTGTGTGTCTTTTAACTATGAAATTACAAGCATGTTCGTTTGATAAGGTCGATAAATTGGAGTTTTATCTTTCGTGGCGAACTTCAATAGGTAGAGGAGCGACTTGAATAGAGTTTTAATGGTGGGCATGTAATTATACGTGTCAGTGACGATGAAGAATGAATTCTTTGAGTTATAATGTTGGGGTGTGATTATATTTCCAGTGTGTGTCGAAATACGACAAATTGCATTGAACATAATTACAGCTGTACGTAATATATCCGATGTTGCTGTTAAATTTTCGTTAATCGATGCAATGTTTAAGAAACCAATGGAGTATGTTCTTTGTAAACTTATTTATGGTCACGCGTGATATTGATCATTTGGTCACTTATATCGCGACATCTACAGGATATATGTAGAACGTACTGTGTTTCATTGCTGACCATTAGGTGGCAGTGAAGTTGTGTGGTACCACGTGGTACTGTATGTACAGTTTGATTGTTGGTAATGTTTTTTGTGTAGAGAGACTGGAGTCGGGGATTAGTTTTTATGCAAAGAGCGCCTAAAAACCGTAAATTAAAGTTAAGCCGTTTAATGTCAAATTCTATATTTTGCCTGTTAGTATGACCCTTAAAGTTTAATGTGGCAAGTAGAATTTTTATTCTTGTGTGACTTCAACAGCGGTCGAACAGGTAACTTGCCTATTTGTCGAAAATTACGTTCGTCTAATTAATTTGTTTTGTTGTATAAATGCTGTGATTTATAATGGGTTTATTGTAGATTTCTATATATGCATGGTATTTGATAATATTTAAATGTTTACAAAATTAATTTTACTGGTCCGTTGTCTCCTTTGTAACCGACTGATTCTATAGTTTTCTCATTGTTTGGCGCTGTACGCGTCTGTTTAGACAACATTTCGCACGTGCCTTTTATTTGAATTATTGTCAGTTTTAATTTGCACAAGAAACAATGAATCCGACAACTGGTAGCGACGTTGAAACGGAGCAGATACGTAAACGCAAAAAAATTACAAAAGAGTCGACAATTGAGGATATTGCATCTTCTATTAGTAAGTGACTAGTGGTTATAAATGAATTCAATTGATTCATAACAGTATTTACATATTATTATCTATATACTGCTAATATTTGATAAGAATCGTTAATTACACTCTTGTATTTTCTACAAGTTTAAATTAGATATTAGAATAAGGTTATATACTGAATTTTATAAAATATATGTTAACTCTTTCAAGTACGGTGGTATGAAAAATGTTCCACATTTTTTTTATGCTCAACTCGCGTGGTGCAACGTTATTCAACCACTTTTAAATCGTGAAGTTACTAAAAACGAAACGTAATTGAACTAAAATAATATTTTGACACATTTTAAACAAAAAAATGTCTGTACAAGTATGCATTTTTTTATTGTAAAATCCTATGCTTCAAAGAGGTAAACAGTAGTTAGTAAGTTAATCAAAATTAAGATAAATTCATTATTGTATATTTTTAGGAGATATAGGTGAATCAGTTGGAAGCATAACGAACAGTTATAGAACTCTTTTAAAAGTTAACAAAGCTGTGGTTGTATATTGTTTGGAAGCTCAGAAACGCCACAAGAAATTGAATATAGATGGAATAGTAGCTGATTTGGAGCAGAGTAATATAGCCGAATCATAATGATTCATACAAATAAGAGGCATATGTTCTGATATGCTTTTATATCACGGTGTATGTTGTTTATAATATGTTTACAAGTATCAATTTAACATTTGAAACAATAGTTAACAAGAATATATCCGCTAACTTGATTTTTGTGGATTGCCTTAACAAGGTGAAAGTAACATAGGTGTTAATTTTAAAATAAATAGCACATAAAATTTTGTAAATAATTATATGTATTTCTTTATATCACAAAGTCTTTTGATATGTAAATATATAGTGACTTATATCCTGCAATATCAAATTAATACTATCTCAGGAATACTATAAATACATGTTTCGTGTTGTAATAAAATGGCACGAAGGTGGAGGGTTGAGCTATAAGCATGTTCCATTAAATAGCTGTCTCGCGAGTCTTATGATGTAGTGTACAAGTTGCTAATCCTCTTAGTATTCTGGGTCATCTTTGGGTTTTCTCCTTGGATCTGCAGCATCTAGCGAAACTATTACAGGGGGAACATTTTCTGGTTTCTCTGTCTGACCAAATCTGTAATCAGCACCCTTTGTCGGTGCAAACCATGTCCTGGATAATGGTACTTGCCTGCATCTGGAATTCATTTTTTAACTTTAAGGATTTGAATTCATCCGGGAACCTTAAAAGTTAAGTGAAACATGCAAAGTACTCAGAACGCTGAACATGGTTCCAATAAGGACACATTATATAGTAATGGACCTTATATGATTGAAAAAAGCCATGCGTGTTTCAAGTGTCTTCAGTCTGTAACAGCATGGTTGTTACGGTACATACACAGATGGGAGTAAACAAACACTAAAGTATTATAACAGTAGTACATTCTTGTAAGTACAGTGGTTACGTAAATAAAATCGGAAAAGTTATTACAAAACAAAATTGTAAATTTCACAGTTAAAGTAAAAAAAAAACGAGAAAACCCATAAAAAAAAGAATCCAACAAAGAGATCTGGTGCAACGTGTACAGCTTACGCGATATGCGAGATAATAGAGTGCAGTGGGAGAAGAGAGTGCCCAATTCCCTTAGTACTGGCCCTATTTTTTCTGCTCACACCTGCACGTGTTTTGATCAAAGTAGTATCCGGTGGAACATTCTTGTTCGTCCCTGCAGAGACAGGTACAACGCTCTGGATCCCAGGTCTTCGTGTCATTATTTCTTATGCATTTCTCCGCCTCGTCCACGTTTTTGCACGCGCATCTGCATTCCTCCTTCAAGTATGTCTGTTTCACGTTGCAATGCTTAATAAGGTATATTCCTCTGTAGATGCTACACTTCCGATCTTAAATATTATTTCAATGTCTTCTGTTCAATTTACTCTTATACCCTAAGAAACACCTCGTACATAGATAGTGTTCTAAATGTTAACGTTCTCGAACTTACTCCAAGAGATAAACCATGTATACATATAAGAGGGTCCTCAACAGCAAAGGTGTTAGTATGTACATAGAATATTTTTTAAACGTAGGAATATAGATAGCACATGACGCCTTGAAGACGCCTTCTTTACGGCTATTTTAGGTCTAAGGCGTCATGTGCTACGGTGTGTAGTGTCACTAAAATGGAAATGGGGTAACGTAACTCCAGAAAAGTAGGCCGCAAAAATACATTGGATGAAATGTCTACTCCAATACCTCGTCTGTGTCAACTTTACAAAAGACATTGGACAAAATTTGACTTTGCAGTTTTGGATAACTGGGTAAATTTAAACTCGCTATCTGCACAAATACAGCAGTAGCAGTCCAGCTCCTACGTCGAATTTCACGTCTGTATCTCAATTTCGCAATTTCCTCGAACCGACCAAATTGTTCGGTGACTAAAGGGTACGGTAGCGTGTATGTAAGCGCGAAAGTGTCCGCGAACCGTGAACGATAAGCCCCGCGAACCGCGTGTTACCGGTTTAAGAAGGAAGATCCCAATTATCGGCTGTCCTCAAATTACCTCCGCCTTAATTCTGCAGTCGCACGCGCATTTCGTGTGCTCCTCCAACGGCACGATCTGTTTGCTCTTATAGCTCAGCCCGTCGGTCTCCACGGAGACGACCAGTACCTTTGAACAAAATGGCGGTAACTATACCAATTCCTTCGACCTGGACATACACACACAAGCGTGAAAATGCAGTTCTGACTTACCTCGAAGTTCCGAAACTCTGACGCGACTGGTTGACACGAGAGCAACGCGTGACTGCAACATCCCCCGCACCTCTTGACACGCGTGCAAGAGGGATAATAGATGGTCGACGGATCGTTCTCTAGCTTCAGCGAAACTGGTTGTAACTCGGGCATACATTTCGCTGGAATTGGTCGCTCGGCGTTCGAGCGTTCTTCGGTGTCACCGATTCTGCCTGAAAGCAAGCCGTTTTGAAATGTCCTTCGATCGTCTTCACTAATTAGCCAGGGAATTTCTCCTCGATTCCAGCTTTCCTTTTTTTTTTTTTATCTGTCTACCCATTACACGGTTTCTGTGGTGTCGAAAGTAGCCTAGTCCTATACCCAGATAGCACATAATGCCTTGACGCACATTTTAGGTCTGAGGCGTCTTTGAGCCGTATTCAAGGCGTAATGTGCTATCTGGGTAAGATTCTTTTACGTAACACCCCGACGGTTATTCTTTCAGGTAAAACGGTACGATGAACGAATACGCGGAAGCCATCTCGTTCGCGAATTGCTACTTCGCTCTGGTCGACGGTCTCGCTTCCGGTTTGGACAGCCACCTGGCCGAGAACGTGGTCCTGGATTGGTTCGGCAGAACGGTCACCGGCAGGCGAAACGTGACTGCTTTCATGGAAGCCCACAAGGTGAACAGTAGGCACATGTTTCGAACCATCATGCCTTGTACCAGTATCGGTTACCAACGGAAACCTTCGAATCGGTGAGAATATGGAAATACCCCAAGAGTGGCTAGAGATTTCGTTTTAGTTCTCTTCGAAATCTATCGAACGAGGAAAACGACGAAAAGTCCTAATTGTGGATTTTGTGATTCAGGAAAAGAGTGTGTTCGTATCGAAATGACAAAGAATCGTTTAATACCGATAACGAAGACGGTCGTCTTGAAGGTCAGACAGTTTTCCAAGAAACGTGCATGTCGGCGGCGGATGACGTCATCACGGATATTAATCAGAACGAAATCGATCCGAAAAAAATCACCGCGATGGACATCGACAAGATGTCTTACTGCCTGGACGAGGGTGATCTCAGCAATCTTTTCAAACTCGAGATCTCGTCGACCAACATAGAGGAGATCGAGCAGAGCATTAATAGGATAAAATTGGAAGAGGAAATGGCACCAACCGTCAAAGCCATCAAGAGAGAGCGCGGTCAAGGAGATGGGCCTGTTGTCGTTGAAACCAGCTCGGTTAAGTACGTCGAGGCTGACGGCGAGATAGAATTCTCGCGGAGAGTTTGGAAACAAGGCAAGGGTTAATTCTATTCGTACGCCCCCCCCCCCCGATCTGTATGGAATGTTTGATAAATAATTAGATTGCTACACTTTATCTTTTTATAATTCACATATTTAGTCTACAAGAAGAACACAAAGAGTATGTTGTTCGCAACAGTGTCCACAATTTTGGAATTTTAGGATTTACAAAATATTTGTTAATTGGTAAAACGAGGTCACCTGTATTTTTTTCAAGCTGAACCACATTATTTATTCCTACTTCGGGTTGTAAAGGAACTCAAAACGAATCCAATGATAACGTTAATTGTCGTTCTTTTTAGTATTCTACAACGAAAACTTAATATATTGTAATTCAATTTAGCAATGGTACTAATTTAACTAATTTAATTTTACTGATTTAACTATTAAATAATGTGGATGTAATGATCATTAGTATCTTCAAAGAATACGAATACAAGTACAGTGGATGATCAAATTATTAGAGCCACCTGCATAAATTGACGATCGTACGATGTTAACTGTATTTTTTTATAATTACACGAGCCAAGTTTAATTTTGTTTGTGTACGTTTAGTAGACACTTGTTAATTAAAAATTATCCAGTGTAAAAACCTTGATATCGTGATTTTGTTTTTACATAAACACAAAAATAAAACATATTTTTCGTACTCTGGCTCTAATAACATTGTTCAACATCAATTTTGATCTGTAATATCCACTGGGCGATCCACGAAAACATAGTCCACACGTTGCCGACAGATGTTTCTTTGATTTCTCCGAATCACAAACTATTTCGACACTTTTTCTCAGTGGTATTTTCCTCAGAAGTGTCTACAGATTCCGATTCCGTGTAGCAAATTCATGCTGGATAAAGAATTATTCACATCCGCTCTTTTTAAACTGTAATGGCCATTTACTACCATTCAGAACCACAAAATTTAATAGTTGTATCCATTAGTATATTCAGAAAACTTTCTTCTATCTTCTAATATTAAATTGACCTTTCTAATGTTTTCAGTTTTCATTTAATAAGTAATTTTCTCCCCAAAATCATGCGTTTGTACAAAATCTCGAGTTTTTAAAAAACCAAGGACGATAGAGCAGTTCCGTTTCCGGTTTTGGGCCAAGAAACTCTACAAGAATCGTCCGGCGGATATTGCAGAACAGAAAAAAATGATACTGTAATTTGATCACTAAACTGCGGATTTTCATGCAAAATGAAGAGAAGAGTAAATGTAGGAATTTCTTTCTTTTCTTAAGCATCATATTAGGTTCGGAATAAACTAGAAAACTGATTAGATCTGACGAAAGTTTTGTATTTCACAGGCCCCAATGGGCAATAAATGCATAAAATCCGCAGTCTATTGATCACTGTAAACTCAAGTAGAGTTAGGCAATCGGTCCCACAATGAAATTCACGTTTCGATTCGATCGCAGGTGCCTGGAACGCGTATATCTCGGCCAGATCGAACGTTCACACTTGGAGACGGTCGTGCAAACTGCAAATTGCGTATTCCACGTTAACGGACCAACCAACCTTGGAGCCGTCTCGTAAAAGCAGAAACAGCGCGACGCTCTACGACCAGCCGAAAGCCAGACTGTTCAGCCTAGGGGAGATCAACGAGATCACCAATCGACTGGTACCGAACACGAACGATTTCGGTGGTTTCCTGAAGGACGTCGACTTCTTCGAGGATCGCAAAGACTTTCTGGCGAGCTTGGGCACGGAGATTGCGATCAAAGATCCTCTTAACCCCGTGCTCAAACCTCATTACGTGAGGAACAAGCTTGTGTTCGACAAACCCTGCGTGAACCATGACGATCAGAACGATCGCAATAAGAAAAAGTTCGTCTTCAACTATCAGATCCATCTGATCATATACGAGGGCACCAACAAGTGTAAGGTGAATCTGTTACCGGATTTCGAAGAAACGAAAATGTCGAAGGAGACAAAGATAGAAGAGGCGAATTAGATTCACTTCTAGTCACGGGTGTCGTTGATACAATCAGAAGACTGATTAGAATCCAATTCTTTTTTTTTTTTTTAATTATATATTGTCAGGAAATGCATTCCTGAGACGATTTGTGCCTAATCTATTGATTTAGTTAGGTTTATGTTTTTCTAAAGATTTTTGTTGTAATTCGTTTCTTTAACGATCGTTCTACGATACTGGCGATTTTATGTCAGGAAAATACTTACCCGATAGTGATTAAGTATTACCAGTTCTATTTGTTTCGATTTCAGGTTTTTATAAGCCTCTTTTCGTATTGATTCTTTTTAGGTTTCACTTGTACGATCGTGTTTACCGAATGATCTCATGCTCCGCTGATAATCGGGGCGATATTTATGCAATGAAATTGCCGGTAGACACCGCTCGGATTAATTCGTTTATCTAACCAAATGATATTTACCGTGATCGTTGTTGCTTTATTTACCAGTGTCTGTTCGTTACATAAAGGAGAATCGGTAAGATAGCGGACTGGCTCTGTGTCGTCATCCGAAACTCGCTCTATAAAACAGTATTATTATAACAAGTATTGTATACGATATTACACCGTATAATGGTATCCTCCATTGTTTCAAGATGGCGTACTTTGATATTCCTTTATATCGAATAAAGCACGATCTACAAGATCGCACTGCTTATTACACATGTGTTTTTCATACGCCGTCGCGAGTCAACCGGTTTTCCTCAACGAAACGATATTAATTCATATAGATGCATAACAGTCCTCGCCTCATTGACACGATAAAGAAACGTGTGTACTTACTGGTGAGACTGATGCTTATTGAGTCTGGCGGTCTATTCTTCACGTGATTGAGAAACTCGTCGACCGAATTCATGGTATTGATCGTCTTAGCAATTTCCAGCATTTTCTGAAAAATCAAAAAAAGAGTAAACAGAATACCCTGGACAGCGGCATGAACGATCGAATGGAAAAAAAACTCGTAATTTCTCGCGCGCAGAGAAGCGTTATCTCGATCGCGCAACGGTAATCTAATCGGAAACGGTGTATCGATAATGCGCCGCGGACTACGGATCTCGATTTTGATGATACTTGTAACTGTAAGGGAATTCGCGGGAGATCGTTTCAAGAGAAAAAAAGAAAATATAATTTATTGTCATTTTCCCGGGAAACCGCGTACGATCATTCGGAATTTGGTATGCGTTGTTCGGTTGCAGGAACAATTTTTTCCTACGAAGAACGTGTTAATCAGCCGCTTTTAAGCCTGTTTTGCGTAAGAATTCCGACGTTTTGTCATGCATATCGAGACACGCTGAATTCAAAGACGATCGCCAGGTACAAGAGTACTCAGGTGCGCTATTCCAAACAATGGTTCGAGCTTCTATACAGGGTGTAACAAAAGTGTTGGAGGACTCGGAAATGGAAGACGCGTGAAGTGTTTTGAAACAAGTTTTTCCCTAGCAAAAATGTTAACTGAAGCTTGGTTAACGAGATATTAACGAAAAAACCTCAACCAATCAGAGCGCGAGTCTGCCAGCCGAATTCCCGCGTTAACGTTGGCTACCGATCACAGCGCGTAGCTCTGACTGGTCGGGGTTTTTCGTTAATATTTCGTTAACAAAGCCTCGGATAACATTTTTGCTAAGGAAAAACTTTGTTAAATCATCTCACGAGTCTCCCATTTTTGGGTCCTCCAATATTTTTGTTACACCCTGTATGCACCAGAAGGTTAACACTAGAACTACCAAGCAAGTCAAAATGACTTGTCAATACACTCTTACAACGACGATTAAAATATTATGACAATACATTTTCTCAGATCTTTTGCACTTTTTATTACGATATGAAAGTGAAGAAATTAGTTAATATCGAAATTTTCAAAAGTTTTTCACGTTTATCGTCGGTAGTTCTAGCATTAAAGCTGGATTGGTAATGGTAGTGAAGGAAACACGATCGAACGGTGAAAAAGAAAAATGTTCGAACGGGATCTTGTATATAATTATCGGGGATTCCCGGTATTAAACGATCCGTGAGTCACCAGCTTCGCGGACAACCGATCGAATCAGGATTGCCGGACGATCGCAGGTCAATCATCCGGGAAACTCTAAAGAATTTCTTCACTTTCGCGACGGCTATATTTGGACCGTTAATTAAAAACATCTTTATGCATTAGTGGTCAACCCTGGATCCAGTACACGCTTAAAAAGAGTCTCGTTTCTCCGGATCTCGAACGTTGTTTCGCCCTTCGACTTGGAACAGGTTTTGTATATACTCTATCGCGCGAACATCGACCAAAAAAAAAGGGTGGGGGGAGGGGGACGATGTGGATACCAACTTCTAAGAACCAGCTTCGATGTTAATGTCCCCCTTTTACGATTGAATTTTTCTTCTTTCGAACGATTCGAAGATCGGTTGGTTCGTCCCAGTTGCTCGAGTAAATTATGTTCAAAAACGACGCAGCTCTCGAGTATTTCTACAGGTGCAGACGGAATTCGATCGTGGGTAACGGGACGACGTGGTATTTTTGATAAACAGATTACGAACACGATTTGCATAATCGTGAAATCCGTGGTCGTGAGACATTTTACTTTCTGAGAATTTTGCGCTCGATCGGAGAGCCTCTCGACCTTTTAAATGGCCGCCAATAATAATCGGCGCCAGCCGCCGATCGTTCGGATTGCATCACGACACTGGAGTACGTACACGTATTCGATAAATACGCGATAATTGCGGCACGATACGAACGGAAACGCCGTGAAATAAAATGGCGACCTTGCCGGAAGAATAGGCTTCGACCTTGCAACACTTTGCGCCGTCGCATGTGGGTTTTGTTAATCGTAACCTCAATTTCTCTCTGCTTTTGGATACGTATTAGTCAGCGGAATATATTTCAAATTCTTAAATACACTGACCTTTCCTTCGTTCGAGCTACGACTCGATTGGTTCAGTGATACGGATCGTCGTATTTTGTGACGATCGATAGGCGATTGTTTACTAGGGTGAACGCAATGAATGAACAGTTGAAAGATTTTATAACTATTAAAGACGAATTTTAAATGATAATATTAAAAAATATTCTTTTGCATATATGAAAATTAGATTTTCTAATATCTGTACCTTTTTGTAACGAATAGATTTCAACTTGAGACATTGAAAAATTTAATTAAATTTTCACACTGACGATCGTTGAAATATGTTCCAGATATTATTACTTAAAGTGATAAAGTAGGCGTCTACTGTAGTGGACAAATACAGTTAACGGGTTCAAATTAGTCTAACGATTTACACTCCCATTCTTAAGTATTATTAAACCTGCCACGTTTCAGGAAAATTTGATAGTTCGTAAGAATGATGAGGGGGTCCCAAACTCCATTGGGGGCCATTTTTCTTAGACTTCCTATAGACATACTTTGTTCAGCTTTGGTAACTTTTTAGAAATACTCATTCAGGACCTCTAATAACATCATAACATTTTTTTAAGTTTATTTCACACTTGACACCTGTTGTAATACTTGTGGACGGAAGTGTATATCACATTAGTATTAACATATTCACTGTGATACGAAAGATACATGTATCTAAAGTCGTAACTTTGCTTATTCATGTTTTCCCTACTAGACTGGGATGCTTATGCAAATTACCCATTTTAAAGACTGTTTCACAGAATCACAGACAAATCTGATCCATCAGTCATGAAATTTGCTCAATTAACAAATAAAATAAACACATTAATAGTCTTGATTAAATTCGTTTACTTCATTGTGTGCTGCTTATCTGCATATTTCGTAAATGCATAACATCTGCAGTTTTATCGTTGTATAATAAAAGCGTATTATCTTCAACATTTGTTAATTTTTTTTAGTGAAGCTGGTATTAATCAACTTCGTGAAAATTAAATGAACAGAATTTGATAAAAAAAGCGTACAGAGTTGATCACAGTGAACATGTTAATAGATCATTCCTACCATTACTATTATTATTAATATTGTTTAAGGACCCAGAAAATTCTGAATTAATTTGAATCTTATTTTATTCTCAAGGGAACAAGTCGAAAGATGGAATAAAAATACTAATAACAGTGACGTCGAGCTGTTACGAACATGATTTACACAACTCGAGTTGCAACGAGAGGTGTGACGCAAACAAAAAGTGCACGGAACGAAACACACCTGAGCGTTCTACATCAAAATTCGAGACTGGAAGCAGATATAATCACTAAAAGTTAATCGTACTCATTAAGTTTCTCTGTTCCCATGGTCTAATGAACGACTTCCGTGGCGCGGGATTCGAAGCAACGATAAAATTAGACGGTCGCAAGGTAATCGACAAACTATTCGCGAAATGACGTGTAATCAATTACCTATATATCGGACCGCAGGGACACCGTGACGAGCGTTCGTAAGTGTTTCGTGCGAGGTTTCCACATCGAGTATCCCGTGCCTCCTTGACATTAGTGTTGTTCGACCATCGACGTCATTCAGGTCTTTGAGGAAAAATAAATGTGCTCCCGGTGACAAGGATGTCGTAATATCCATCAAACCTAGTTCCTTTTCTTTATCGCTACATATTACTTCCAGAAACGTATTACTTGCCTTGACGAAAGATAAAAAAAAAAACAAGACCTTATCTTTTGGACCGACATTTTGACCTTCTTTTCGGCGCAAGACACTCCAGGGACAAAAAGTGCCGGTAATTTTTACTTTCTCTTGTTCCCGTCGACTAATTTTATAATTCGATCGTTATTTATTAGTAACCAACACAAGCTGGAGGTAACAGTAAAAAAGAAACACTGACAGAATTGCGTCGAATGACTGATTTCCACGGTCCTCGAATTACTGATTCCACTGATCCTTTTTCGCGTAATTTCGTTTGTCGAGTTAATTCTTTTATTTTTAATTACAGATTCCACGGATCCTCTTTCGCGTAATTTCTTTTATGAATTTACTTCTTTTTGTTTTTTAATTTCTTATACTGAATTACTAATTCCACTAATTTTTCTTTTTTACGATTTTACTTCTATTATTTTTTAATTACTGATTCCACTGTTCCCTTTTCGCCTAATTTCTTTTGTCGAGTTAATTCTTTTAGTTTTAATTACAGATTCCACGGATCCTCTTTCGCGTAATTTCTTTCATCAATTTACTTCTTTTTGTTTTTTAATTTCTTATGCTGAATTACTAATTCCACTAATTTTTCTTTTTTACGATTTTACTTCTATTCTTTTTTAATTACTGATTCCACTGTTCCCTTTTCGCCTAATTTCTTTTGTCGAGTTAATTCTTTTATTTTTAATTACAGATTCCACGGATCCTCATTCGCGTGATTTCGCAGTCGTTTCGAAAAGAAACCCTAACAAAATTTCTCCAGATAACTATCAGATCGATCAGAGAAACTCTTCGCCTAATTTAACAATGATTTTTGTACGTCCACAAACCTATTTTATCGATCCACATCGCGTTCCCAACGGTTCACGCCGAGAAAATCACGTAGCTCGCGCAGCAGCAGCGACCCGCCAAACGTCATTCGCGCGCGACACGGCGGATCGGGTTTTAAACTTGTCCGTTGTCGGTTCATTGTGTGGTACGCTCGTTTCACAATCACCTCACGCCGGACAACATAATTGCGCTATTTACCCGAGGGGAAAACGTGGGACTGTTAGGGAGACTCTGTGCACGAGAACGGAATCGATCGAATACATCCTGTTTTAACCATTCGAACACAAATACAGTAAATCCTGGATGAATCTTCGAAGACTCTTCGACACTAACAAGGAAATATCCCCAGGTATAACACCGACGTTCTAAATAAGCTTCAGCACAGTGATAGAGCTTGGAATTCCTAACCCAATCCTATTTATTTCAGCTCCATATGGCAGCTAGTTTACGAAATATTTACTGTCCAATGCCAAACATCCTTCGAACACTCATCGAGGATTTACTGTACAATAGAAAATTTTTACCGCTAAGTCGGATTGTTTGCGAACAGGGTAAGGAAACACGATCCTCTTGTTGACTTCGCCCAAACAGAGTCCAACCGTAAGTATCAAGAAAACGCTCGTCAGTATGTACGAGTTCCGTTTGTAGTTCGACATTTTTGGACGTGACGGTCGATCCACCAATGCTGTCTCGGGATCCACTTTTGACGCCGGAAAGAAGAGGACACCACCCAGTTGGTTTCCCTGGCGAACGTGTAAATCTTCTCGCGACGAAAGAACACCAGACAGGTTCAGTAGTTGACGAGGCTACGTTTTTTCTTTTCTTTTTTTTTCTTTCTTTTTGTTACGTGGAAAACTTGGTCGTTGGCACGTGTTTACGAGAAACACAGGGTCGCATTACACTCGTCGCGCACCGGGTGGGGAAAACCGCGAGGACGCACACACCTGAGCAGGTTCCTCTGCTCGCGCCGCGATCGACTGCCGAAGCGAATACGTCCCCGCGCGTATTTCTGGCCACACACACGCGTCACCCGCTCACGTACGGATCGCAATAGACGACGGCACACGTACACACGCGTAGTTCCTCTCGCCGGTGTGCCACTGTCGCAGACTTTCCATTTCGTTTCTTTTTTTTTTTTTTTTTTTCATTTTATCCGTTGCTTTTCGCGATGACTACTTCGTCGTTATCGAAACCGAGATGTTAATGCACCGGTATCTACGCTGATTGTATGTCTTTTCCCTATTGTCCACCGGAAGTGATGCATTCGGTGTTATGTACTAGGGCTTTGCAGATTCCTGTCGTAGTTTTTTTCCTTCTTTTATTAACGCAGTTTTAATCTTCGTGGGGAGATTGTTCTGGAAAAGGTTTTACATTTATTACTAACTTGGCGATACATTTATTTATTAATAGCTTCTTTAAATCTTTGAATTGCATTCGGTATGGTGCAGTATGTACTAAAATGTGCATTGCTACCGAGGAGTTTGTATAATAATACATTACATGATAGGGGAAGAAAAAACAGTTTGCATTGTGTCGTCTTTGTATCGATATTTTGATTGACAGTAATGTGCAGTTTTAATCTGCTTATTGCATCTTTTTGGGATCTTGTATGAAAACATTTTTTTCTTCATAAAATCAAGAACTATTAGCCATTTTGAAAGTATACTACCAGCCAAAAGTATGGGACTGGAGGTCATAATTGATGCAACAGGAAGTTATTATTTTGTTACGGATTAAGTACGTATGCAAATTATTTCCCAATTAGTTTTAGCGTATTACTTTTATTAATTTCCACTTTTTTTAAAATACCCGGACCTGATCCCATACTTTTGGTCGGTAGTGTATTTGAAACATTTTTTAAAATATATTTTCTTATGAACGATGCGTTTGCTCACGATAAATAACGAACTAGTAGTTACAGTAAAACTGTTTTTCTAATGTTAATCTAATAATAATACTTATAATAATATTATTTATTAAAAATATTGTTTTGCACTGTACGTTAAGATTTTGAAACATGTTACTTATTAACAAAAGTATTAACAGAAAACGATGTTATTATCAATGCCTTTTAAAATTTTTTTATTCGACTGCAAATATTCCGGAAGTACCGGCTTTATTACACGATCGTTATTTAAGATAAAAACATTCTTGATGATTCCATCAAAGAGCTTTATCGCCCGATTTTACGGGATGACTCAATGATCCAAAGAGTGTAGCGTTGTGGTAATGAAATTTTCTGCGCAATTTGATAGGAAAGATATGAAAGTTTGATCGTTCGATGCGTCGATGGTGAAGTTGCTCGCTCGTCGAGATGATTTTAATGATTACGGGGTCGAGCAGGGGCGTGGGTGTATTAATTTGCATGCGAGATTAAACTATTCTAGGATTGCTCTGTATAATGCAAGGCTTCAAGGTAGCGGTTTGCGAAAAAAATTCGGTACGCCGTTGTCGTGGATCAACGTGAGTTCATACGCACTTGAGCAATAACGATTGTGAAAGTATTCAGGATATATTTATACAGGGAGGAAGGACTTTTTCAGATAACTCGGTTTATTATTAATTGTGATTTAACCCTTTGCGGACGTGTCTGTTTGAGGGGTGAGATGTCTATGACAGGTGCTACAGTGTACGCCAATAGGAGTTACATCGTCGAAAAGGATAACAAGCTTTTACGGTAATTAATTAACTATAAAAGCTATTGGCAAAAAAAAAAATTTCCAAACATAATATGAGGTCTTTTAAGTAACTTGAGAAACAATAACGTTCCTTTGTTCTATTTATTAATTTAATTATCTTAAAGAACTCAAATACAAGAAGTGCACATAAGAAGATAGAGATTTAAGAATAAATAGTACTTTAATTAGTTCCGTCATTAGGAAAATTGCTTAATAGACTTCCTAATCTCGTCCAAAATACTTAGTTCTTGTTGCTCTCACTTTACTCCTCAGTTCATGAAGCAGTCTGTGAATCATACACTCATGAATGTTAGACATTCCAAACATTACGACATATTCTTCATACACTGTTACAGTGCAGACCATGCTACTCATTCAGGTTTTTATGTCACATCCTAGAACCAAGAATTTAAATACATTAAGTTTGCTTACCTTAATTTGGGAAGTTTTTCTTGCATTAGATTAAATGAATGTAATATAAAGATTGCTTAACATTATACTATTTTATAGGGTATTTTTTAAATTCAAACAATTCAATGTCTTAATTTGACAACAACAATTACTACAAATATTCTCTCAATAAGATTTGATGTGCATTTAAAGTACTCAATAGGTTATGTAACGTATATATATATTTTTATCAATATGGTACATAAATATCACTGTTAAATCAATATAAGAATATCATGTATTAATTGAATATTGATGAAATAGTTTTATAAGTATACAAAGACCTATTCCATCTTCAGTAATTTAAACACTGGAGGCAGCCATCTTGTTTGCATCATAAACATTTCGATAGATCGATGCACGTATCGGTACGATTGATAAATAGGCGGTTTATTTGAATAGGACAATTTGATATAAAAATTAACGATTATGCAAGAAACTGGAATGAAGATTTCATTCGATAAACTATGATTTATTTTACATGTATTATAACATGGACATTTACAATTGTAAAGGAGTAATCTATACATCAGAAACGGGTTTTACGATATCAGATATTGAATAAAAATATTGATGATGAATGCTTTGGGCGTTGATGTAACGCGAATATCTCTTAAATGATTGCACGGATGTTTTATATTCCAAGTTCACTGTAACGAAACGTAAATAATATATATCACGACTAGATTAATTAAAATTTTTTAAAAGAAAAGATCCTATAACTCTCAAATTTTAATAAGGCTGTATTGAGTGGTACGCTTTGAAATAGCAAAGATTCACTTCGTACTATCGATCCACTAAATTAGTATTATTATTATTATGATTATTCCTTTTTATTACATAATATAATGATAAAATAGATTAAAATTTTGACATTCGGATTTATTAATTTTTGCAAATATGTGGATATCTGTGATACACAGGATCAATTCATGCTGTAATTTTTACGGCTTGAAACAAATGAAAAGCGCGCCACTCATGTAGAATAACTCCTAGCATCAGACGTATTTTGCACCTATTTTGGCAGTATTTTTAACAACTCGGAAACAACCCTCAAACGCAATTTCCTCATTCTTCATTTTCGTCCTAGTTTCGCATGTAGAATCCACCCTGATATTGTTCCACACTTTTATTAACAACCCTGTATATGTATAAAAAAAGTCATACCACTGAGTTCAACTTCCCAAGTTCTGTTAAATTACAAAGGCTAGTTAAAACTTGAGAGTTATACCTCTTCTTGCAAGAATTAGTATGAATTTTATTCAAATTACCGTGTGACGCGATGAGATTGATATAATTTTCCTGCATCCCACGTTACGAATCATTCTGTACCCCGGTGGACAACGTTTCGTTTGCGTTCTTTGCGGAAATGTCAGCGGCCTAGATTCGCTTCCAATTATCAGAGCCATCAGGAGAAGCGCGAAGATCACGAGACGCAGAGGTGCCATTTCAAATTTGATTTTTAACTTTTTATTACGATTTGTCACCTTTCTACGCGGCTGATCAACAATGTCTAGGTAGAAATTAACGACTGACGCAAGGGACAACGAAAACACCATTGATATACTCTCATTTTAGTGCGATTTCCCTCCCTCCCTCCCCCCGATTCGTTTATTCGCTGTAATTTGCGGTCAGAGTCCATATCCTGATCACGCACATTGTGGTTTCTATTTGATAATTACGTCAAATTTTTTCTGAGTTGCGATAAAGCAGGGAAACATTAACTGCGGTTAAAATTTTTGAATGACATCTCACGATGATTCATGTTGTTGCATCGAAGATCGAATCGAATGAAAATGTCCTGTTAATTCAATATCATCCCAGATAGGACAAAGACGGCTTATCTATTTTGCAGACAAGAAATTTTTGCTTTTTCATGTGTGAATATCTTATTACATGTAATAGTTGCGATGGGAGCAATTTTAGATTCCGAGGGAACAAATTGGGAGCAATTTTTTAAGATGAAAATTGTTAAGAAATATATTCACTCCAACTATTTTTCGGTCACACATACATACTCGGAGGCAAATGGAGGACAACGATGTCCGGGCGTGAGCACTCTCATTTTTTCTGTTATAACGTAGAGGGCAGAAGGCGCTAAAAAATCTCAAGATTAACAAATTTCAAAATATGTGGCACTAATAACTTCCATAATGATGATAAATCTATTCCATAAGGTAGTGATTATAAACATACAGTGATAAAAGAAAAATCATCTGACACAGGGCAGGTATCATATTTACAAACAATGAAGTAAATATTTTAATTATCGAAAGTTTCGATAAAATAGTCTTATATCAGTATTCAAGTCTATGTTAATTGTTTTACTGGAAATATTTCTATGCTCGAGTAATTTTCACCCTGACTTCGTCAATAAATAATATTTTTACAAACAGTAATACATTTTCTTACATATGAGGATGGAAATATGATTTTGAGAAGCAATGTCTTCCACAAAAATGAACGAAAGTCATGTTGCGGATGGAATGAGGTACGCATATACAGAGAATGACAATGATGCTGTAAAGAAAGAACCTCCTAATACGAATTCGGAGCAAATTGAAAAAAAAGAAAAGAAAAAAATAACTATAGAAGTAGATGAAGATGATCCGTGTCTCAAGGGTAAAGAGGGAGACGTACTCAGTAAATCAGTGATTCGGGTTCCTGGAACGGATCCACGGTAACTTTGTTTGATAATAATAATGACGGAGATATGGTTTTTTTTTTTTTATAAATTTAATCTTCTGATTTACATTAAATGTCTATCGCTTAGATTTCAGCAACAAAATCAGACGTTACGTTGTTGGGTAATGTACACCGATTTCTATCGCTGTGAACATATTTTAGGGGAAGGTTCGGACGCGTGTGCCTGGTTCAAACAAGTTTTCACGACTATATGCCCGAAGTATTGGATTGATCATTGGGACAATCTCAGAGCGGAAGGCAAATTTCCTTGGCATAAATATAAAACGCAAGGAGAATTTCCTGGTGATAAATACGGAGTTTAGGCAACCTACTGACCTAACGTACATCTAGGGCGGAAACTTACATAATTAAGAGTAAAAGAATAAATACACGATTAAAAAAAAATATCAATCTTTTTATTATACAGGTACAAGATTTTTTACGAGGTAACTTATATAGAAGTATGAAATGAATATTTGTTGCAATGTCCGATGTTGGCCTGTTCTACGGCTGTCTTCAACAATCGGTCAATAATTTCTTCTTTTATTCTTTCCTTACATTAACCACACTAACTACTTGCTGTTTATATGACACTTTTTACAGTATGTAAAAAATAAACACTTGCAGCGAATCTGCCTTAAACTTTTTGATAGAATATAAGCTTGAAATAGCACAGTATTAAAAATTTTGTTCTGTTTAAAATTTAAGATTCTTACATAATAAAATGGTTATCTTAATTTGTGCACAAACTCCTGCCATGATGAAGAGAACTTACCATCTTCAGGTGTGACTTCTTCGGTTGTTATCAGGATTATGCTACCCATATAAGGATATTGCTTCGTCAGAAACAGTATCTGTAATTCGAAGAGTAACAACACTTAGAATAGGAAAAGTTTCTCCGCTCTGATGTTGAGACGAGTTTCTGAAAACTGTGATCGATTTAAATGAAAGGCTTGATTGGATTCTTATTTCATAAAGCCCTCTGAATCTTATGATTAAAGATTAAAACCACCTTACGTATAACTTAACAATGCCACTTTAGTAGCTATATGCTACTTGGCTTGATTCTCTCTTTGATGAACGAAATGACATTCCCCATCGTTGCACGTTCCCATCAGATCATATGGGCAAAGGACGCCATTGGGATTCGTATTCCTGGTTAAGAATGACAAAAAACACAAAAAAATGCTAAAAAATTTTGTAGCATTTGAATGTGGAAGGAGTTAGTACATCTAAAAAGCAGTTACGGGAAAACCGCTGAAAAATTTAGACAGCAAAACCCACCTTGGCACTTTGAAGTGTACTAATATTGATTCATAAGGTAACACCATCTTCTTGATCTGCTGTTCCACTTCCGGTTTCGCAGAAGTCCTGCCTTGGTTGCTACATTCGGCGGTTAATCCAGACGTATTGTTTTCCGATGATTCTTGCTGGTCCGGTGTTTGAGAGTCTTTTAAGGGAGGAATACTAGAAACTGTAACAGGGGCACTACACAAATCCAGTTGTCTACTAGATGCTTCTTCTTGCATGTTGTTTTCTTGGGGTTTATCTTCATTATCATTAACGGACGAGTCATTCACTGTCACGTGTTCTATTATATTTACTACAGTAGTTTCTGCAGGTGCAGTATCTTCACTTTCGTTTGTTTCCGTTAAATAGTCATCATTCTTACTTAAGATTGTTGTATCAACATTATTTACAATGTCTTCTTCTTCTTCTTCTAACAAGATTTTACTTTGTGACAGATCCGAATGGACAGTTGATACAGTATCTTCTAACCTCACCGAGCCGTATGCTTCAGAAAGACTGATAGATGGTACTTTCTTCCGTGAAAGTTCCCGCGTGTGATTGGCCACTTCTTTTAATCTACTATCTACAAGTTGTGCTCCAGCGTCAGGTACTCTAAAAAATAAATAACGTTTTTTAAAAGATGATATTTGTCATTCGAAATCATTATAACATATCCACTTATACTGTACTTGTATTCTTTTCCTACAATTCTACTTCCCAAACTCGAACAAATCCTTGCAAGTTTAAAACATTCTTGCCGGCCTGTATTGATTTTCGCATGTGCCGACACTACCTTAGGACCTATACTATTTATACGATTACGCTGCAGTTGTAATCTTTCCTCAGCTACTTTCAGTTGTTCTCTGAGTTTCTTCACTTCTGCAACTAAGTTTGTCTGAAGATCCCGTTCCACATGCCACTCACGAAGATTACCAGACATTTCTGCCAAGTCCGTCACAATATTATACCTATACAATATGATAATATAAATAAATAATTATTCTACGTTACAATGAATAACTTCTGATGTATATAATACCGTTTCAAAACTAATTTTTGTTCAGTATCCATTAGACGTCGTTCTTGTTCCGCTCGTGAAAGATTCATCAGAGTGTTTAGCTCCGTTTTCACGTCCCTTTTAATCGTATCCCAATTTTCTTCTATACTCTTCTTGTCATTTGATAATAGATTACTATTAAACAATGAAAAACTATCATCCTTACTGTCTGCGACGGAACTTAGTGACCTATTATTATCTCCCTCATATTGTGAAAGTCGAATTGTTGATTCTGATGTATCAACACTTTCCTCTTTTTCTATTGTCTGACTGCTTTTTGATAAAATAACAGTCGACGCATCTGAATCAACTGTATCGTTGTTACCGCGAGTATTAGATGTAATTATTTCATTTTCAACGGATTGCACAGGTTGATTGATATCTTGATCACCTATACTTTTATTACTAGTATCTTTATTTCCAGAAATATTTTCATTTTGACTAATTACTGTCTCGTTATTTAAGGTCACTTTATCATGTATTGTTACCACTCGTTCATTCGTGTCACTCTTGACTTGAATTTGTACAAATTTTCGATTTACTTCATCCGTGGACAGAATTTTCAAGCCCTGTGAAACTATATGCTTCGTTGCGATTTCATTCTGCGATTCAAATACTTTACATGGCAACTGTACAGTTTTTCCAATACTGTTACCATCTTTGCTTGAACTATTTTCATTGGATATGCGTATGTTAAGATTTGTCGTTAAGTTTGATATTATTTTTGCGTGGCTTGGATTCGTGTTTCCTTCCTTATCCATACTATTTATTTTATTGGTATTTGTATGTTTTATTACATCTAAATTCTTCGAATAATTTTCTTTATTAAGTTGTGTATTTAAATTTTGGTTTTTTGTAGATCCAATTTGACTTATTTTCGAATGTAACTCTCTATTTGGGCTGTTGGATGGCACCGATTTTGATGATGCTTGGATATTTGTATTCTTTACTGAACTGTTATTCTCTGTAGTTCTGTGTAGTTTCAGTTTTTCTCGTTCTAAAATCTGTTGCTTCAATCGATGATATTCTTCTTGCTGGGATGCAGGTAAATGACGTACAGCCTGTAATTATGTTCAAGTGATTAAATGTCTTATACAAAGTAAAATGTTATAATATACAAGTCTTACCAATGGTGTATGATTGGACGAATTTTCCAGTTTTGTTGTCAATGCTGTATCTCTTTTAGGTGTCTGTGATATTGGAGTTGGTCTTGCAGCTGCCATAGATTCTTGTTTCTTTCGTACAGCTCGCAAAAATTGATCTAAGTTCTTTTCGAATTCAGCTGTAGGATTCGCCGTTGATTGATGTTTATCCGATGTCATTGAATTGATCGAAGCTGCTATTTTCTTGGCATGCTGTTCAGATTCAGAATCACTTTCTGTGTCGGATTCTAAATTGATCACTATTTTTTGTGTGTCAGGCACTATTTTTGTGTTGGCTGACCATTTATTGTCACTAGAATGTACTTTAGTAACAATTTTGTTTTCTGTTATCTTCTGTTTGCTGTATTGCACAGCTTTTTGTACATTTAATTTCTTTTGAATCATTGTATTTTGGTACTTCTTTGCATTGTTTACAACTTTCGTACTTGCTGGAATTGGAATTCTTTTCATAACTTTCTTTTGTGGACCCTTAGTCGTAGGATTTAATCTTTTCCTCCCAGAATTGATGGTAGGTAATGTCTTAACAGTTTGGCTAGGTGGACTTTCTTCTGAAGCAATTGTATTATTTACTTTTTCTTTTGAATTCGATTGATTTTTATCATTCTCGGAAGCAACGGAATTTGCATGTTGGTTGGATGAAGATATTAAACTCTTAGTGTTTGCTACATTTACTGTGTCAGCTATGGACAATGCAACTTTGGGAACAGTTTGATTTGTATTTGTAAGTATCTGATTGGTACTATTTGATATTGCAGCCACAGTTGTGCTTGGAGTTGACAGATTTTGGTTGGTTATTTTCGTTCGTTTTGGTAAAGAAGCTAATAAAATTGCTCTTAGTGCTTCCTCATCTTCATCTAAACTTTGCCTTCTATCATCTGTATTTTTTACTTGTTCTGCTACATCACCAGAGAAGGTATCTTTATGCTGTACATTGCTTTCATTTGTTTCTGAAGAACTTCGATTTCTTTTATTAACACCATCTTTTGATGTTTCTAAGTTAACTAGATTTGTGTTATCTTCTATATTGTTACACTTTGCAAGTTCAGCTGTGTTATTTATTTGTTTATCTAACATATGTACATTTTTACTATTTGTAGCTTTTGTATTATGTTCTTTGGTAACCAGTTGTATACTACCAGTACTTTTTCTTCTCACTCCCTTCTTTGCAGATTTTTTCTTCTTTTGTGTCTGACTTATATTATCACAAGTTTTACCTGGACATTCTGCATTCGCAGTTTCATTATTTTGTACCAAAGTTGCATTATTATTACTTTCTACCTGTGAGCCATCTTCATTGATAGGTATTTTGTTAATGTGATCTTCATATAAAGAATCGTGAAATGCAGTAGGTATTGTTAAAACAGAATGTGATTTTTGCGGGAACGACATCAATTTCATTGGTTTGAAACAAGTATTTGTCTTTGTAGTCGCATCATCATTCAAAGTAACTGGCTGCATTTCTGCATTTTTAAAGGTTGGTTCTTGCGGTATTATAGTCTTCCTTACAGGTAAGGTTTGTTGCAACTGTTTATTCGTTTTTAAAATTGACGAAGGGACAAGTGTTCTGCTAATCAGTGTTGGTATTTTATTTATGTCTTTGGTAACATCTGGTATTCCCTTCATATAAAGGGGTTCCGGTATCGTATTTTTTATGTTCTCTGTTACATTTTCAGGAATGCATTCTATACTCTTTCCGTTTTTAATCGAGTCAATTAACGGACTTGCATCCACATCAGTTTCAGGGAGATCATCGATTGTTATCAATGAACTGGCTGGTGATACTGACCCTCTTAAAGATGTTGCATCAGAACCAACAGCAGGATTCATAGAAAGTGTTTCTATATCATCTAAATGTTCATCAATATTTGTATTGTCTATTTGTTTTATTGTTTCTGTATGCTGTATTGCTGATATATGATTGTACTGTTCATTATTTTCATGTACATTCGAAGTGCAAGAACCCATAGATGCTAAGGAAGAATTTGACGTAGCAATTGGCCCAAGAGTCTGTGAAAGTGCATGGGATAAATCAGGATCATACACAGGAGTATCAGTTGGAGAATAAGGTGTCTCCTGACTTAAATTATTATCTACAAAGTTGGAAGTATTATTACTTTTGAAAACATTTACATGAGGATTATGTACTTTTGTATAGCCAGTTCTAGTGGCCTCTGGTGTATTTGTCGGTGAATATTGCATATTTGTATTTGGTGTAGAATAAAATGTATTTTGTGATGCTGCATAATATGCAACATTCGTTAAGTAACTTCGGTTTTCAATTATTTTGCCCTGATAAGACTTCTGATCATCCTGATTAGATGGTACAGATGCATGAAAACTTGGACTATTATTAATTTCGTTAAGATTGATAAATGATACATCAGATGGCTGAATACCTAATAATTCTGTGTCAATAGGTATGTTCACAGTAATTTTATCTGTTGGAGAATATGGTAATTTTTCTTTTTCCCTTTCAACATCTGTATCTATGTCCATGTCTTCTGTGTGATTATTTTCATGCATAGGAAGTGGAGTATGTGGTGGCGATGCAAAGTGCAATAATTCTTCACCTGGTATAGGAATACTGTCCAAAAAGCTTTGAGTAAATGGACTCTCACTCCGGGATACATTAGATTTCTTATATTTCCCCGACTTCATACCTTTCTGAACTCTATTCTGATGCTTCTTCAATACTGCTGAACGAAGTGCAATCATTCTTAATTCCAAGTCTTCTTCGTCTTGATCATCATCTAGACAAGTACTTACTTTTTTCATAATTTCAGTAATCGGTTGTTCATTTTGTTTATTTGATTTCTTTTGTTTTGTTTCTAGTGCTTTTTGTCTTAGTAATGCTATGTCTTCTTCGTCATCTGGATCATTAAGTTCTGTTTTATTTATTCGTGTACTGGACCCATCCTTAGAGAAGTTTGTTATATCACTATTATTGTCACAGACTCCTTTCATCATATGTGATAACTTCTCTTTTAAAGAGGAAGCATGCTCTTTATTTTTATTCAGAGTTTGTTCTAATGAATGGGTTCCTATTGAATCTAAATGTCGAACTTTTTTCAATAATTTATGGTTATCGGTGTAATTATGAGATGAAGACATCAAATCAATATGAGATGTTTTTCTTGGTATTGTTTTCCCTGGTGATCGATATGGTGAACGCTTAGGAGATTTCAGCCTTCTGGGAGACCTTCTCATTGGTGGTGATCTAGCATGCATAACTGGAGATTTTGATCTCCTGAAAGGAGAATGTGGTCTCACAAGTGATCTATGCCTTCTGGGAGGTGACCTCGAAGGTACTCTTGGTCTGTTAGGTCTACGAGGAGGACTTATTTCTCTATGGTGTGACCTCGAAGAACTAGTTTCTGTTATATTATGTTTTAATGTACCAACACATTCTGACACAGATATATCCACAGTGGATGAAGAAACTAAATCATCAATTGTCAATATAGACGCATGAGTTCTTTTTCTCTTTTTCTTCTTCTTCATTTTAACTTTTGATGAACGTATCACAATTTGTTTAGAATTATCTGCAAGACCAACGATTTCCATATCACTATCACTTGAGATAGGCACAAGGTCATCGTTTTTTTCCTGAAGTGTAGAGGCTACATGCTTGGCTCCAAAACATCCTGTTTCTTTAACCTGGTGACGATTTTCTTTTCCTTGGACTGCATCTTGTAGAACAAGGTCAACCTCTACTTGATTAGGACATGATATGCAGAGGATGATAATGCATTTATCAAACATCTTTAATTTTTATATTAAAAAATAATAGAACAGACAGATTGGATAATATATTAAAATTTAGATTAGTATTCAAATAGTACTTCTAAGAAACTGTATAATTAGATAAAATTATATACAAACTAAAGTAATTCTAAATCTATAAATTAAAAATGATGAATTAAATATAATCTAAGCGTATATTGATGTGATATTTAATTTTTATATGTTGTTTCCAATTGCCAGTTTAATAAATTTAACAATTTTAATAGACTTACCTCGTCTGTTAGGGCCTTTAGGACGATAAAACTTGGCAGGAGCTGGGCACCACATTGTATTGTGTTCCGTTGACAAGCAGTTAGAGCACTGAGAAGCTCTAGTTCCGTATCCATAATTCGGGTGTCCTTCCTCGGAAGAACTCACATCTTCCAACGATATTTCACCTTCTTCTTTCTCGTCCAGCACTTCAATTGCTTCGGTACACCCACTCGATAAATCGCTAGCCATTCTTAGACTTACCCTCGAACCATATGCAACTAACCTCGTCCATCCGTGATAATCAGAAACGTATTATCTCCCATAAAAAGTACGATTAATTATGCGTGAGTAATATCTATCTATGATTTCTTTCGCTGATCTAAACCTGGTATACGCACATACCACCACAATGAATAATTGCGCGATAATGATCTTTCTATTTACGGGAATATGCAATAAATAAATTATACTTTAACAAGCCTGATGATTTCTACAGTAATAACAAAGAAACTCCACCACAAGATTTGATTTTATCGTAGTTGTGTATTTTCGCTCCTATACGCATGCAATAACTTCACCTGACTTCGCCATACTGCATAAATGTAGTTTTCAACATGTGATAAGAATGGCTGGTATTCATTGATACCAATATGTTCTGAAATTAGACACTAGAATTTCACTAGAAACAGGTGGAACACAAAATATTATAGATGATTTTCAGAACACACATGAACTTTATAATTTTAATAGTCTTTTTATATATTTCAATTAAACGTAAGATTATTCATGTTTCATATTTTGTATTTATTATATTTTCATAAAAATATTCGTTTGAAACTAAAGAAGAAAATACGATGTACAGAATACACTATATTATAAAATAGATGTTATACAATGATATACAAATTGCAATCTAATTTTCGAGCTCCTTTCGTACTAAAACGGGAATACTAATTGTTATTTCCGTTTGTTCTCAATTTTGTGTGAAGTACATTGAATTTCGGTGAAACATGATTCTCAAGCAAATCTTTGTCGAACATAAAACGTGACAATGCCTGATCACCAATTCCAGATAAAACAGCTACGAATCTTCCCATTTCATTAACGCTTTTCATTTGATCTTCCATAAAACCAGTAACAATAAAATCACTTGCGTTTAAATCGCCATGCTTCTCCGCTACGACGTTTACAGCAACTAGTTTGTCGCTTACTTCAATTTCTAATTCCAAAGCCGTCTAAACAGATGCGCATATATTAGAAATTAGATAATACTATTTATATATTTCGAACATTTAAATGCTATATTACGTCAATACTGGCAAGATAAGGTGCATGACTAAACCGGAATAAAGATTAACTGTCGACCACATATTGCTTATTAAAAATATTATGTACTTTGAACGCGTGCAGGGGACATTTCCAATCTTGATCGGTGGGTTGCTTCACGTTGCACAAATTAACACAACCTCCGCGCATTTTAACGTAATTTACAAATCTGAGAGCATGTTCGTGCTCTTCGTGATGCATTTGCATGAAGAACGATTCGCAACCGGGCAATGCAACATCGGCGCGTCCGAAATATGCAGCCTAGAGGAAATAATTAATACCACAGAAGTTTGTGGTCAAATAATATGTATGGTATATAGAAAGATTTGCAAGATAAAAAGGATTGTAAATGTTACCATAGAAAGATAATAATAAAATGCCTTCAGTTCAGCATTTATTTGCGCGTTCAATATTGCTTCGGTTTCCTCGTGAAATTTAAATTTAGCTGTTTTTCCACTCGGCCATTTCATCGGTTTATCAATGCATTCATTAGGTTTTTCACCGCAACTGGAGGTGTACGATCTTGCAAAAAACGTTTCTGCATTGTGTTTCTGTGACTGTAATTCGAACATTCTCCAAGAATTATCAATCATTTTGTCAAGCGGCGACTGACGTAACAAATCCTTTACTCAATAACATAAAAACTTACTTTTTACTGGATAATTTTTGAGCACGAGATAACACGTTATCGAGAATTTTTCTACAGCAGGATGGCTTCAGCATTTTTTTTATTCAATTACATATAATTTACTAACAGGTTTGTTACAGAACCGAATAAAATTTTGACGTTTACATGTCACGGCGCAGATTCGCAATTTTTTGAGCGGTATATACTCAGTAGTTACGTAATAGTAAACATGGTAAAAAACACGAATCGAGAATTCGTAATTATTAAGTTTATTTATTACGATTACAGTTTACTCAACGTTCTGCAATACAGTAGAATATTTGCCATATTTGTTAATATATTAGTGGCTACGAATCGTTCTTGAAATTGACATCCGGTTGAAGGCTCCTAAAGTTTATTTGCGAAGTAATTTGACGGTGTGACGTAAATATTGGCAATTCTTTTCCAACTGATGCTAGCTACAGCACCTAACCGTCTCACGAGTTCTTTAAATGGGGCGTTTCCTTTTTCTAAATCGGTATAACGTACAATTCTTTCTCTCATTTTATGCTGTCCGATTATCCGTGAACGATCTATTCGTCGACAGGCATAAACTCATTTCAGATCAATAGCATCGGTTTTGTAGTAGAGATTTTAATCTCTAAACTCTTTATCAAAAACGTATACACCCAGACCCTCGCCTACTCTTTCCAAATTCGTCACATGATCGGCGATTTCCTTGATAGAATCAACTTGCTCCTGCAAGAACTCAGTCTCCAGGAAGTCCAGGAAATTCGGATCATTGTGCGTCGACGCCAGTGCGTGTAACTGTAGAAGACTCTGAAAATTGTAAAAGTATTTAAAAAAAAAAATGTATGTCACCTAATATAATCGTATTGTGATTTTGTGATCGGATAACATCTATACTGTACGTAATTGAAAAAGAAAATGAAAAAAAAAAGAAGACTGGAGGAGCTGGGATTTGAACCCAGGACTTTCCGCATGCGAAGCGGACACTCTACCACTGAGTTACACCCCCTGTTGAAAGTAACTGTACTAAAATTGTACTTACCGAACGATTCGACTGAACTTCGAAAATATTAAGTTACTATGTTAGTCAAATTAACAAATGCAGTCTAACTAGAACTATTTTTTTTTAAATATATACTAATAACATACTACTAAAATATTTATATGTGTATTGTTAACACGTTTAAAATAAAATACTATGCGATAGCAGTGACTTTTATGATTTCAATGTATTTTTATGAATATCCACCTCGTTAACACTCATCTCTAGATCAAGTGCGTCTGACATAGCATCCTTAGCGCTGACCCAGTCATTCTTTGGCGGGCATTCAATGGCTGTCAGAAGGATGCTACCGCCTCTCTTGTTTTGATAACTCATGAATTTCATCGCGTGTTCTCTTTCCTCGTCGGAAGCGTGTTTGAAGTATTTCTGAAGACCCGGCAACGCGACATCGCTTCTATCGAAGTAATAACACTGGAAGAGAGCGACTTTAGCAGACGACAGTTTTACGACTAGGGAAGATCATTTCGATTAAAAAATGTTTTCACAAAAAATGAATGTCGCGTTAAAAATAGCCACTTTATCGATACTTTGACTGACCATGGACAAGTAAACGTAACTCGCGTACAGTTCCAAAGTGATTTGCTTGTTAAGGGCTTCCTCACATTCCTCGTGGAAGTTCTGTCTGATTCGATTCATGATGCTCCTTGTTGAAACTGACCGACAAAAGGAAACGTGAATTTAAAACGCACACAACGATGAGTAACACTGGTCTCGTGGTGATTTACAACACAAACAAAAGAGTCATGAGTCTGACTTGCGCCTTCAAAACATACTGCATCGTGTACAAGCAGACGATGCTGGATTATGGTGCACGCATGCGCGAATATGCACTTCTTATCGATTGAAACCGCGAGTCTGAAATCGCGACCTTGAATGTAAAAACAATAACCCTAATAGTCATAATAACAATAATTGTAATAATGATATTAAAAAATGGTAACGTTTTTTACATCTTAACAGTGATACTGCCGTATGTACTACAAGGAAAACAATGGAAAGTAAAGAATGGAAAAGTAAAAACTAAATTAAAATATATACACATGATTGATAATGTTATCGCGAATGTTCGAGATTCAGCAATTGTTTTTCCAATCCAACCCTGTAACAACATAATAAAAACATATAGAATATTTTCAATCCTGATATAATTAATCGTACATACATTTTTGTATTTATTAATTCTGAGAATGTTACGTACTTTATGTTGAAAGGAACTAGGCATTCTTTAAAACGGTATATAATTACAAGTTAAGGTAAACCTGTATAATCATAAATTATCAATTTATCGATTTCAGTTTTTTACTTGTAGAACGAATATTATGTTTAGGTATCATAGAAATAGAACATTTCTAATTCGTATTTCTTGTTTTCCTCTTGCATTTACGTCAGTTCAAGAAAATGCGCAACAGAATAACGCGTGTTCAGAAAGCGTTCTTAATTTTCTTGGTTCTTCTAAGCCAATGAAAAGTTGTGTGATAGTTTCGTTTGGATGAGTTTCCAAACGCATAAAGAAAATGGAAAATGCACGAGTGTGTCACAATGAATGTTCCACAAGGAAGTAAACTTGGTATTTTAAAGTTTATATTTTAGAATAGTATTTCATTTTGAATGTTTTAATATTATACTCTTCGTTTTTGTCTTCTAGTTTCTTTAATATTTTAGTGGTTCATGATAAACGGAAATATATATTTAGTACCCGCTTATAGGTTATACGTATGAGATTCTGGAGCTTCTATTTATATATAAAAGTATGCGTTTGTAATTTGTGATTTTTTCAGTCAGTTATGTGACTATCTAGAATTTCCAGAACATAACATGATCAAGGAAACATAAATATATCGAATTGAATTATTATTTTTAAGAATGATTATGAAGATGGAATGTTAAAAAAATTTTATTTGATATCAATTATATAGTATATGGTGAGGAATTGGGTTAAATGTGACTATAAATTGAGGTTTGGGCCCAGTAGTTAATACCAGATATGATACTAAAGAACTGATATCTTTTGTCAGTATTATACAAAGCATTATGCTTTTAGGTTAACTTATTCCTATAGTTGGATTTAGGCTTATGAAAAAATCCTCTGTTTGTAGTCTTACTGGGTTTAATACTGTATTATTTTATTACCACCAAGTATAATTAGGACAGCAAAACTTATCTAAAATGATGTATATATAACATATATTCAGTTGACACGTAAAAAATAATAATTATGTGTATAAATATTGAATGTTCTTTTATCTTTCAAGTAACTGACATAATATGGATTGAAATATTTTTTGGAAGTGATTTGTGAACAACTAGTTCTGCACAATAACATTTCATGAACATCTTGGAATTTAGTTGCCAATTATTGAAACACTAAAATTTCTACTTATATATAATGTATCAGAATACAATCTTACAGAAACTTCTAAATCTTTAAGATATGCCAGGATTACATTAGGATGATTGATACAATTAATATTCTTGCACCAACAGAAGGAATACATCTGTCATACATTGCTAATACATGCCAAAAGAATTATAAACAATATTAGTATGTTATAATTATTCATACATTTATAAAAAAATGATACTATTAATACTTATATATGTATAATTCTTATACACTTTAGGCACTGACAATGAGTTGAACAATCAATTAGGAAAATAATACATTAGTTGCACTAAAGAATGTAAATGTTAATAATCCAGTGATTTATTTCTGCATACCATAAACAACTTGCATACTTTCTAGTTGATATACATATAATACAGTGTGTAGATACATAATAATCTCTTCCGAACTTGTTCTTTAAAATTATTATATTTAACTTCAGAATTTTTTGTCCCTTATCGATTTTGTCGGCAGGTATATCTTAACTTGTAATTTTTATCATTAACTCAATTTTCGTCATCACACCGTCTGTTCACGCGGAAGAGAGCGCGATTCATATCGATAAAGTCTTCATAACGCGTAGAAGTTCCGATGCGTTCGTTTTAACGATTGGACTTTCACGCTTGATCGAGTCATTATTTCTGGTTCTTTCTCCCGCTGTTTCTTTGGAAGCCCCATCATAGCCGCTGTCACACGCACAAGAGTCTTATGTCTAATCTTGTGCAGTGGCCAGCAGCTGCACTGGGGTCCGTTCTGCTTTTCTTTCTCTTCTTCACGTTCCTTCAATCGTCTCCTCGTTTACAGTCCTTCCTCCGCGTTCTACACTAGTTATAATAAGCCATAGGAAAACTACAGTATAGGTTATTTGGAAAATAATTTAACTAGCTTACGAAACCGATTAACAGCTACTACGCGATAAGTAAAGAAAAATGAATTTAACCACCGGAGGAAATTTGTTACGTCGTCTACGATCTAGGTCGTTTGGTGAATGATTTGAACACTTTCATCGAGCCAGTCGATATAATTGTTTCTTACGATGACTACTTCATTCCACTTCTGCCGTGGCTATTAGTACAGTTTAAAAAAAGTGGGATACGAAGTAGTCAAGTATGTATATGTATAGGTTTCGTGAATGTATATGTGTAAAGTGTTCGGACTTTCGCCGGCTTTAGCCGTGGTCTATGTCCTTTTGTGCTCGTTGCCGACACCAGTCTTGTGTTACGAATTAAATGCTTAAAATGAAAAAAATCAATGCAATCCTCCAAAGGAAGGAACTAACGAGCATCGTTTTCTATTGCTGAAAAAGAAACGCGACCCTTCAACATCCGAGGTAATGGGTTACTTGTTACATATATATGCATAATTATAGATATTATCGTAACATTTCAACGCACACAGATTTAACGGCGGAGAAATAATACGTTCCATACGGTTCGTGTAAAATAACACGGAATGTATGTTCGTATCAAATATAATTTGTGGGGATCGTACATCTGGTGGTTCTATAGGTTGGTAGGATAGTTCGACTCGTATATAAAATTCATTGTCTTCGATCCTCCTACCGTGCATTTCTACGATGGACTTACTGCGATTTATGCTCGACGGGACGTGACTTCTTCTCCTCTTGCTAGGAACGCTCGTTACACCGATCGCGGCGGAACCCAGTTAATCTTCATTTCGAAACGATCGTTTTAATATGTTCGCATCGCGATCTTCTTCCATCGAGGAAAAAAGTATCGGGTTCTCCAGCGATTTTTCTAGCCTTGGTCCTCGTTCACAATCGTGAGCTTTTGCCGAACGATCCTTGATTCGGTTACCTCAACATCGTTACGAAAACAGGTGAAAGTGTTTTTTGGAGTGTTCAAAGGTTCTTTTAATTTCTTTGCTCTGGTAATCTCTGGGATGCATCGTAGAGATTCGTGAACTCTTTTCTTCCACGGTCGAAGATGATTCTTCATATGGACGCGTTAGGGTACACCAACCTGTCAGTCCGAGTACGTTCAGTCACTCACTTGGTCGATCTTCTACGGCTCGTTCACGTGAAATATAAATATTTTGGTTGACCCAACCAGGCTCTGTACACTGAGCGGTGTTCGATGTACGAGTGGACAGGGTAAATGTCATAGCAGATCCCCCCCGTACGGTAGTCCCACTTGATCAATGCTCCCATCGAATAGTTTCGGTATTACCACGCGATCGAAGGTAGCCGGAGGTTTAATAAAAAATGATCGCACACTTCTGTTCGTGTTCCGAGCACAACTGCCGATACCTTCTTAGTTCACCCTTGGTTATATACCAGGACACCACGTGGTCATCTAATCCGTCGGCCAATGAGGGGGTGGCTTTAGTTTCGCTCGACCAATGAACGGCACCGTTTAAGGCCACAAGACACGTGTTCCTTGGGAAATAAGGGCACAGGCATTACGAACGAAATCGTATTTGCGTTACCGAAGTTGGACGATCGAATAGCAGACGGTTACCGCTTTGCTTGCTTGGCATTTCTTCTAGGCCAGGAATCTTCGTGTTCTGGTTACATTTGTCGCCATTCAAGATGAGGATTCGATGGATTCCAGCCGAATCACGGAGTTCTCGTTGGGCCTGATTCAGGGGACTATTTCTTCTTTGCGATTCTAGCGTTCTGGGATTCGTTCTATCTTAAAATTGGTGGTATTGATACTATTCTATATTACTTTCATTATTAGATTATTTACAGAATAGAAGAAAGTAAAAGAAAATGCGTTTTTTACTTTTCCTTGGCCTTTCTAGTAAGACCGTTTATGATTGTTTCGGTATTGTTGTAGATGGAAGATAGTCCTGCGAAAATTATTAAGTAAAGGATTTTTTAAACGCATGCATTTTGGAATTCATAACTTCTGCTTTCTTAGGTTATATAAAAGTCCCCGTTTCGTTATACAACTTTACTTCACCCTGTGACCGGCCTGCTAAACTCCGCCAGCGGTATATCGTTGCTGGTGGTAGTGTTTAATGATATTGTGGAGAAGTGAATCCTTAAAACGTATCCCACATACATACCGACGCGAAGCAGGTGGCCTGTTTGTTAAATAGTCGGATCCGGTATAAGGGCGACCTAATTTTTATTACTTCTCGCCAACTCATCATTGTTCATTCCACATTTATAGTTTCTAACAAAAATCTGCAATTTACGTTATTTCGATTTTTTATCCGTTTCTTTACGTGTTCGGTATATTCACCTAGAATGCTCTCAAAGACAGCCAATCAGGATCCGAATTCTCAGCGACAATCGATAAAAACAACGATTGATCAGAAAGGTGCACAGAGACCTGGGCTGC